ATGATTTATGCCACATTTTGCGGTGCAATTGTTTCAAGTTTGGTATTTGGAGTTCGTAATGGGTGCTACTTTATGTGACAGAAAATTATCTAAGAAAAGGTCCACACCTTCGTATATCCCCCATATATCTGTACATCCAATATTCGGTTGTGTAAATATAATCAAAATCCTTACAAAAATTTACGAAACTAATTTTAAATTTTTATTATTATTAATAATCTAAATTCTTACAAAATTTTCCGAGGTTAATTTTAATTTTTTTTATTACAATTTTCAGGTATGTACAAACTTAAAAAAAAGAAATAGTTAAAGCTTCCAAAAATGTGGTAAGTAGTATGAAAATATTTGAAAATGTGGCAACATCAAAATTCCTTCCAACAATATTTTGTAAATTAGAATCCATAAAAACAGAACCAACTATTGGTTCATGTCATCGATAACAGTGAAGCACCCTGTGCTTCAGTGGGAAATTTTTAATTGAAGAGTGTGATGCACCCTGTGTTTCGACGGGATTTTTGTGGGTATTGTTCATCTTAACTATGAAACAATATATGGGACATTTTTAAGGGGCGTTGTCAACCAAAAATTATTGTGAATTTCTAAATAAGGAGTGATTTTTAAGGATATATAAAATATTTTCAAAAAAAAAAAAAGAACGAAATGAAATGAAACGAAAAATTTATTCGGTAAGGAAAAAAATTAAAAATATATCATTATATATCCTCACCTCTTCAACCTTTTTTCAAAATTTCGGATTTAGATTCCTTGCAATTCTTACATTTTAGAAAAATATAACAAATACCAATAGTAGGATCATTTTGGCAAACAATTCTTTTATCCTTTTTTTCAAAATATGGCTAAAAACTCCATCTAAATGGGATCGTAGGAAGTCAAAGTATTCCACAATTGTTTTTCTCTTAAAATTATACCATAGGTCGCGTAAGATATCAAAAGTGTAAACCTCACCGTAACGGCAGGAATTCTTATGTATTGAAAACACATTTTAGAGTAAACGCCCTACTTTATGTGAATTTATGCAAAAATCCCCTACAAAGCATAAATTTAGAAGAATGATGTGAAAGGCAAAAATATTCTTCATCAAATTTTATTATAAGTAGCCAAAAAAGTCAATATCGATTTTCACTTATATATTTAACAATATTTCAATCAATAAAAATTATTAAAAAAATGCAAAAATATTTCCTAATTTTCGGATCCGTAAAATGGATCGGATCCGCGTTTTTTTTTTTTTTTTGAGTTGCTGTATGATAGTAACATAAAATTACATTGTAGGCAGTATATGTCTCACACGCTTCCCAAATGTTGCTCGGCGGTATTTTGACCCATTCCCGGGGAAGAGTTTGCTTAAGGTGATCGACACTTCGACACTGCTTTCTAAAATACTTCAGACACAATAGTTCAACGGATTGGTATCCGGTGATTTTGGTGGCCATTGTGCGCTGGAAATGAAGCGAGGAACCTCGTTTTGTAACCATTCTTGGGTGGCGCGTGCTTAGTGCGATGGTGCTGAGTCCTGTTGTCTGTCCAATGTCCAAGGTCTGCGGCCAAAATGTTTGCGTGCCCAAGGCTTTAATACACCATCCAGAATATTTTCGCGATAATATTCGGCATTTATTCTGATGCCACGGTCAATTAATACGAGCGGAGAGCGACCATCGGCTGTTATGGCGACTCACACCATCGCCATGGCGGGCGCTTGTGTTCTGGTGGCCAACCTAAGGTGCACATTTTTTAGCTGACCTCTTTGGCAAGTCAAATAGACGATCATTTTGTTTGTTTACAAACTGCTAAACTATTAATGTTTTCTCATCTGAGAGAGAGAGAGAGAGAGAGAGAGAGAGAAAACCGAATTCGGCAGTTCACCACTTTCGGCCAAGCGAAGCAACTCTTTAGCTCTTTTGAGTCTATTATCTCTCTTTTGCGGTGTAAGTTCTTGCACTTTTTGGAATTTCAATGGCTTTACCCCGAGCTCATTGTTCAATATTTGCTGAATGGAATATTGCGATATGTTCAGCTCACGAGCCATTTTTCGATCACTTCGACGCGGGTTTCGATCAAGTCGCTTCTTTACTTTTTGAAACATTTCTGTTGATGTTGCTGTTCCTTCCGTGCAATTCCGTGACGTCGGGCTACGCTACCAGTATCACGGTAACGAGCGATGGCACGAGACACAAAAGATTTATTCACATTTAAATGCTGGAGTGTTGTTTTTTCATCTCCCTGTATACGCATACTGCAAGGATTTCAAGGAATATAAATACAAAAATTGTTATAGAGTGGGTTACTCTGCTATCAAAACGCCGACTTACGTGTCTTCTATTTTTAGCTTTACTTTTTATGGAAAACTTACTGTATTTATGGAAAAATTGATTCATTGTGTCTTATTCGCATTTTCTAGTGAAACAAATGGCAGGAAAATGGAGTTTACTGTAAATCGACCTAATTTTTGAAATCATATAGTTATGGTAACTCATCAAGTGTACCCTGTGTATTCAATATAAAGTGTCTTGGCTTAAAGGTTCCTGTCTCTAATAGCTCAAATTTATTAAATTAAATTTTGAGTCACACCTTGTGTTTGGATGGGATTTTTGTGGGTCATTTCTGCGGTTACACGCTGTGAATAGAATAAAATCCCGTTCCACACACTACAATACAACAGGGTGACGAAACAATCTTTAGTCTAACTTTCATTATGTAGATGGCAGCACAATCGAATATCGCCTTGCAATATATAATTGGTTTGTATTATTTATTTATTTGTACTATTTTTTTTTTTTTTTTTTTTTTGAAAAATTAAATATCCCCAGTTGTAGCCTTTAAAACGTTAGTGTCTACAATTTATGTACCCTCCACAGTAGTATGGAGGGTATATTAAGCTTGTCATTACGTAAACACAAAGTAAATATATATATTCTTGATCAGCATATAATTCTATGTCGATTTAGAGATGTCCGTCTGTCCCTCAATCCGTCAGTGGAAATCACTCTAGCTTCCGAACGAAATGAGGTAGGTTGAGAAAATTTGACTCAAATGTATATTGTACCTGCAGGACTTTTGGTATTGAAAATGGGTCATGTAGGTCCACGTTTTGGTATAGCCCCAATATCACGGTACCTCCCGATATTCCGCACTTTAATGATTTTAGCGACATTGTTCACCGGAATTGTTTCAAATTTGGTATTTGAAGTTCGAAACGGATACTACAGCCTAAGAAAGAAATTTGTCTGTGCAGGTCCACGTCTTCGTATAGCCTCCATATAACGGTACCTCCCGATATTCTGTATTTTCATGATTTTAGCGACGTTATTCAACGGAATTGCTTTAAATTGGGTATTTGAAGTTCGTAATGGATAATACAGCCTATGACAGAAAATTGTCTATGAAGGTCCACGTTTCGTATAGCCCCCATATAACGGTACCTTCCGATATTCCGCGCTTTGATGATTATAGCGATATTATTCACCGGAATGGTTTCAAATTTGGTAATTGAAGGTCGTAATGAATACTACGGCCTAATACAGAAAATTGTCTGTGCAGGTCCACGTCTTCGTATAGCCTCCATATAACGATACCTCCCGATATTCGGCATTTTGATGATTTAAGCGACATTATTCACCAGAAATGTTTCAAATTTGGTATTTGAAGTTCGTAGTGAATACTACAGCCTAAGACACAAAATTGTCTGTGCAGGTCCACGTTTTGTTATAGCCCCCATATAACATTACCTCCCGATATTCGGTATTTTGATGATTTTGGCGACATTATTTACCGGAATTGTTTAAAATTTGGTATTTGAAGTTCGTAATGGATACTTCAACCTAAGACAGAAAATTGTTTGTGCAGGTCCACGTCTTCGCATAGCCTCTATATAACGGCACCTCCCGATATTCGGTGTTTTAATGATTTTAGCATCATTATTTACGGGAATTCTTTCAAATTTGGTATTTGAAGGTCGTAATGAATACTACAGCCTAATACAGAAAATTGTCTCTGAAGGTCCACGTCTTCGTATAGCCCCCATATAACGGTACCTTCCGATATTCGGTACTTTGATGATTTTAGCGACAATATTCATCGGAATTGTTTCAAATTTGGCATTTGAAGTTCGTAATATATACTACAGCCTAAGACAGAAAATTGTTTGTGCAGGTCCACATCTTCGTATAGCCCCAATAAAGTATTTGAAGTTGGTAATGGATTCTTCAGCCTATGACAGAAAATTGTTTGTGCAGGTATAGCCCCCATATAACGGTTTTGGTATAGCCCCCATATAACGGTAGCTCCTGATATTTGGTATTTTGATGATTTTAGTGACATTCTTCACCAGAATTGTTTCAAATTTGGTATTTGAAGTTCGTAATGGATACTGCAAACTAAGACAGAAAATTGTGTATGTTCGTCCACGTCTTCGTATAGCCCCCATATAACCTTACCGCCCGATATTCGGTATTTTGATGATTTTAGCTACATTATTCACCGATTTTTTGTTTAGTTTCGCATTTGAATATTGTAATGGCTTATGACAAATTTTACCTATGCAGGTCCATGTCGACGTATAGACCCTGATATAACAGCCACATTCGGTGTTTTTAAGATTTTAAGAGAATTTTTAAGGGATTTTATTGTTTTTGAGAATTGCCAAATTCGATCCAAATGGTGGAGGGTGTTCAAAGTTCGGCCCGGCCAAGCGTACAGCTTTTTAACTTGTTTTTTAATATTCTCTTTAATACTTTTAAAAATCCAGAAGTCATAAAAAATTAAAGTCCATATTTAAATAATCCACAATTATCGTAAAATGTTCCTATCATTGATTACTAACTTATCTCATGATTGACATCGACTTCTTGAATAAATGTTTATTTTATTATTTCCCCCATGTGTTGGTTTGTTGGTGGGGTGATACCACCCCACAGGCATTATCTTGAGATTATTTGCCACGCAAATTTGTGTTCACCAGCAGTAATCGGCAGATAAGCAAATTGATTTATTAAAACACCATTTGGTCACTTTTTTTCTTCTATTTTTAACTTAACATACGCAAATGATCTAATCCTCCTCTGGTGGAATACATGGCACCTTTTCAACGGGTTCACCGGTTTCACCATTACCGCCACCGCTGCCGCCACCAATCATGCCCAAAATATCCGACAAACTCAAGTCACCAATCATTGCATTAACGGCTGGTACCAAATAGCCATTGGTAAGCAATGGAATATTGTTCGTATTATCATTGATGGCCAGCGAAACCCATTCCTCAATGATTTGATTCAATTTCTTATTGATAATACTATACTTGGAGAGACCGCCAATTTCCGACTTGACCTCACCCACAGAAACGTACAAATCGAAATTGTTCAGTTTGATGGAGCCACCCAAAATACCCATGGAATATTTGAAGTTACCCCAGACACGGAGATTTTTCAGGGCGAATTTGGCATGTCCCTCACGGTGCATTTTAACGCCACTCACACGGGTGGTCATGGCATAATCGGTATCCAAATACACATGATTCCAGTTGAATTCGAAGGTACCCTTACGCAATATAGCTTGAATGCGGAATTGCACAATATCGAAATCATTCAAGCCATACAAACGGAAATTATCGATTTCACCAATGGCCAACAAGGCATCCGAATCGATATTGATTTCTTTGTGGGCAATTTTCAAGGGGGCCAATGGGGGAATACCCAGACCAGGGAAACCACATGGCATTTGTTCTTTGGCTGCTTCGATGGCATCAACAATTTGGCTGGAAATCGAGCGATCTTGGGCTGGAAGAGAATTAGGGAAAATATTCTAATTAGGTTTTTTTAATCACAAAGAAAATTATGTACTAGAGCAGAACTGGTCTTATATTCTCCATAGAAAAACGGCAGGTCTTCAATGTTTCAAAAAGGAGCTGTAGGTCTTCTATTGTCCATAGAAGAGCTGAAGGTCTTCTATTTGCCATAGAAGAGCTGAAGGTCTTCTATTTGCCATAGAATAGCTGTAGGTCTTCTATTTGCCATAGAAGAGCTGTAGGTCTTCTATTTGCCATAGAATAGCTGTAGGTCTTCTATTTGCCATAGAAGAGCTGTAGGTCTTCTATTTGCCATAGAAGAGCTGTAGGTCTTCTATTTGCCATAGAAGAGCTGTAGGTCTTCTATTTGCCATAGAAGAGCTGTAGGTCTTCTATTGGCCAGAGAAGAGCTGTAGGTCTTCTATTGGCCAGAGAAGAGCTGTAGGTCTTCTATTGGCCAGAGAAGAGCTGTAGGTCTTCTATTGGCCAGAGAAGAGCAGCAGGTCTTCTATTGGCCATAGAAGAGCAGCAGGTCTTCTATTGGCCATAGAAGAGCTGTAGGTCTTCTATTGGCCATAGAAGAGCTGTAGGTCTTCTATTGGCCATAGAAGAGCTGTAGGTCTTCTATTGGCCATAGAAGAGCTGTAGGTCTTCTATTGGCCATAGAAGAGCTGTAGGTCTTCTATTGGCCATAGAAGAGCTGTAGGTCTTCTATTGGCCATAGAATAGCTGTAGGTCTTCTATTGGCCATAGAAGAGCTGTAGGTCTTCTATTGGCCATAGAAGAGCTGTATGTCTTCTATTGGCCATAGAAGAGCTGCAGGTCTTCTATTGGCCATAGAAGAGCTGCAGGTCTTCTATTGGCCATAGAAGAGCTGCAGGTCTTCTATTGGCCATAGAAGAGCTGCAGGTCTTCTATTGGCCATAGAAGAGCTGCAGGTCTTCTATTTGCCATAGAAGCGCTGTAGGTCTTCTTTTTGCCATAGAAGAGCTGTAGGTCTTCTATTGTCCATAGAAGAGCTGTAGGTCTTCTATTGTCCATAGAAGAGCTGGCAAATAGAAGACCTCAGGCTCTTCTATGGCAAATAGAAGACCTCAGTCTCTTCTATTGAAAATAGAAGAACTCAGAATTTTCTATTGAAAATAGTAGACCTCAGGCTCTTCCATTGGAAATAGAAGACCTTGAGCTCTTCTAAGGCAAATAGAAGACCTTGAGCTCTTCTTGAAGACTTTGAGCTCTCCTTTGGCAAATAGAAGACCCAAGAAGAAGACCTTACGAATACGACATTTCTCTCCATTTCCTCTTTTCTTAATTTTATTAAAATCACACTCCCTCACTTTTTTAATAATTCCAATAACAACATCCACACTTACCAGCCAAAGCATTGGCCAAAACTTCTTGATGGGCCCATGCCAGGGGCATTAAAGCCAATAGAACCAACAGATATTTCATGTTTCTTTGTTTTACTCCCCGTAAGTGTTTCCAACACGAGTTGAGTAGATAAACTAAACAAGAATAATAATTTTGCCTATGATTTTATAATATTTGCTAAAAAAATGTTCAAAATCGATTTGTGGGATTAGCAAGAAGTCTCTATAAATAATCAGAATGTTTCGAATATAATAGTGTCGATAATCATGCGAATGATAACCAGTGAATTTTTGTGTTCAGAGTGATTAGATTAAAATTTGCAACAATAAAAATATTTAATAGAAGACGCTTTTATTCTTCTCTTATACATGATTTCTTTTTCTCTTATATGTTTTGAATAAAATGACTAGAAAATGGTGTTGAAAAACGCTATTTTAGTAAAAATTAATGGATAACAAGTAAAAAAGCTGTAAGTTCGGCCTAACCGAACTTTGAGTACCTTCCACCATTTGCAACGAATTTGGCACTTTTCAAAAAAAAAAAAAAAAATTAAAACCGTTCCAAATTCTGTTAAAAACTTAGAAATACCGAATGTAGTCGTTATATTAGGGTCTATGACGTGGGCCTGCATAGACAACTTTTGTCATAAGCCACTACAATACTCAAATACGAAACTTGAAAAACATTCGGTGTATAATGTCGCCAAAATCGTCAAAATACCGAATATCGGGAGGTGCCGCTATATGGGGGCTTTACCAAAACCTGGACCTGCACAGACAATTTTCTGTCATTGGCTTTAGTATCCATTACGAACTTCAAATACCAAATTTGAAACATTTCCGGTGAATAAAGTCGCTAAAATCGTCAAAATACCGAATATCTGGAAATGCCGTTATATGGGGGCTATACGAAGGCGTGGATCTGCACAAACAATTTTCTGGCGTAGGATGTAGTACCTATTTTGAACTTCAAATACCAAATTTGAAACAATTCCGGTGAATAATGTCGCTAAAATCACCAAAATACCGAAAATAGGGAGGTACCATTATATGGGGGCTATACGAAGATGCGGACCTGTACAGACAATTTTCTGTCATAGGCTGTAGTATGCGTTACGAACTTCAAATACCAAATTTGAAACAATACTGGTGAATAATGTCGCTAAAATCATCAAAATGCTGAATATCGGGAGGTGCTGCTATATGGGGGCTATACAAAAGCGTGGACCTGCACGAACAATTTTCTGTCATATGCTGTAGAATCCATTACGAACTTTAAATACCAAATTTGAAAAAATTCCGGTGAATAATTTCGCAAAAATCATCAAAATACCGAATATCGGGAGGTACCGTTATATGGGGGCTATACGAAGGCATGGACCTGCACAGACAATTTTTTGTCATAGGCTGTAGTATTCATTACGAACTTCAAATATCAAATTTGAAACAATTCCGGTGAATAATATCGCTAAAATCATCAAAATACCGAATATCGGGAGGTACCGTTATATGGGGGCTATACGAAGACGTAGACCTGCACAGACAATTTTCTTTCATAGTTTGTAGTATCCATTACGAACTTCAAATTTCAAATTTGAAACAATTCCGGTGAATAATGTTGGGTAAATCACCACAATACCGAAAATAGGGAGGTTCCATTATATGGGGGCTATACCAAAACGTGGACCTACATGGTCCATTTTCAATACCAAAAGTCCTGCAGGCATAATATACATTTGAGTAAAATTTTATCAACCTATTTCATTTTGTCTGGATGCTAGAGTGATTTCCACAGACGGACAGATGGTCGGACATCGCCAAATCGACATTGAATTTTATGCTGATCAAAAATATATGTACTTTATACTAAAATGTATATTTCGAGTTGTTACAAACGTAATGACATACTAAATATACCCTCCATACTGTGGTGGAGGGTATAAAAGACTCATAAAATCGAAATCCTTATAAATAACTGCCTAAAAGTATGCACTATGTTTATCAATGTAATTCCCTCAAACATGTACTCTTTTATTGGTTAGCAATGGTTGTTTTTCCATTTTATTTTTCTTTCGTAAGCAGTGTTGCCGTTTGAAATTTTTATTTCAGCCCAAATTTTTTCTAAAAACCGCCCAAAATCGACCATATCCGCCCAAACTGTAAAAAGTTGAATAATTTATATGTAGTTTGTATTCAAGTAAATTTTATTAAAAATTTTACACTATACATAAAAAGGTACTCAAGTTTTATTACATTTAATGTATTAATACATTTATACCCTACAACACTATGTGTTGGGGGTATTATAATTTTGATTGGGTCAAAAATTATGTAACACCACGAAATATTGGTTTCCCACATAGGAAAGTATATATAGATCTTCCTATCTCGCCGAGCTGAGTCGCTATGCTATGTGTGTCCTTCCTTCCGTCAGTCCATGTTAATTTGTAATCACTCTACAGGTCGCAATTATTTTGCAGTTGCTCTACAATTATAGACCAATCGAAGCGAAATTTAGCATGGGGCTAGAGCTTTGGACTGGGCAGAAGCCTTCCAATTTTGATGGTCATCGGTAATATTTAGTGGTTTAGTAGACCATAGCATTTGCGATAAATAAAAGTCGATTTTTCCATTAATCCGGGAATATTTTTACTGCCAGCGAAATCACAAATAGACGAACAGGTCAATTCTGACCGTTACGTAGATGCCGATAGTAAAAATATCGGATATATATAGAGAAATATATATAATGTATATATACAAAGGAAGGGGATGTCAGCTAGAATGCTTATATCTTCAGAATGGCTGGAGCGATTTTGACAAATTTTGTCAATTTAGAATGCCCTTGTGGCATCGCATAAAAAGATACCAATAATGATGTTCATATAGATTTTGTAGTATTTTGTGACGTTTTTTTTATTTTTTCATATTTTTTTATCGCATGCGAGTTTTTTTTAAATTGACTTATAATATTGAAGTAGTTGTTTTGTAATACTTTTTCACTTTACAACATAGGTTAGGGTTATTATTTATATACAGATTGCAATTATCGTTCGATCCTCACGAAATTTTTCACAAAGGTAGGGTTAGGCTCAGAAGGGTTTAGCCTATTGTTTTCAAAGATGTCCGCAATATATTTAGGGGTTGAAATGGACCAGCAACTCAAAATGTTACTGATTTTGCAGCCGTTATAAAGGTCCCAAATATAAACCTAAGGACACGAAATCTCGCATTAAGTTAGAGCTTAGGACAGCGGATAGAATGGACCACTACTTTTGTGTAAAAAATACCAACATTACTTACAGGCGATATACAATAGGCGAACTTCTGGCTTTTTTATGCTGATTTCGTTGACGAATATAGCCAAATATCGTAGACAAGCAAATCATATAGATGAGTCTAAATTTGAAGACACAGAGGGGCCTCTTGCTTTTGGAGATGATCGCAAAATATTTAGGGGTTTAAATGAACCAAAAACAGAAAAAATTTTCCTGATCACACAATTGAAGCCAATCGACACGCCTGAGAATATAGGTAAGCACAGGGAAGAATTCTGGCATTTTGGATGACCATTGGAATATATTTAGCCGTAAAATGGACCACAAAAACTAACAACACGACGGAGTGCATAAATATTGGGAAAATGTCCCTGGTCAAAATGCTAAGGGTAATATCTGGGCAGTGCTCCGTGACATAATTTCAAAAGCTAGTTTCTTCCAAAATGGATTTGGACATGAGGGGGCTTCTAACATATTGTAGTGTTGTAGGGTATCACATGGTCGGCCCCGCACGACTATAGCCTAATGTATTATATATATTATTAAAAAAAAAACTTAACAAAAATCTATAAAATAAATAACGATTTTGAGATGAATTAAAAAAATATAAATTTCAGTTAGTAATAAAAAAAATTAAATTACGTGAAAATAAACAATGAAAAACAAAATTTGTACCCAATATAGAAAAAATCCGCCCAAACCACAAAATGTATCTTTTTTCCGCCCAAATTTGGACGGAAACGCCCAAAACGGCAACACTGTTCGTAAGCGACTAAGGAAGTGTGAGAAGAAGGAGAAATATGAAGAGAAATGACTATCCATTTTCAGACCTGCCGTATTTGTGATTCAAATATAACCGTATCACAAGAAATGTTCCGATATGTACGATTTCCAAACTATGTGATATATTGGTGAAAATATTGAGATGTGCAACGTGTGAAAAAATCGGAAAATAATTGCACATTTTTTAGAGCGTTTACTATTCAAAATATTGGCCTTTTGTGGTGGAGGTACCAGAAGAAGAAGGCTAGTGTAGACCACATTCACTCTTGACCTAATATTGGTGGACATCCGCAAATTGGCGAAGTTTGTTAATAATATCAAATTCCCTCTATGGAGGGAGGTTAATTATTTCTCATTCTTTCTATGAAGGAGGTACAGTGGACCAACCTTGTTGTCATGAATTTTCGACTGTTTATTTAAGAATAAGCATGTGCCCGCTACTTCGTCAGCTAAAAGCTCACCTTAAAATTGTTGATTCGTTCTAACAATTTGTGTTGGGATTTTTATACCCTCCATCATAGTATGGAATATATATTAAGTTAGTCATTCCGTTTGTAACACCTCGAAATATACATTTGAACAGCATTTTAACGGATTTTATTTTTTGAAAATTGCCAAATTCGTTCCAGGGTATTCAAAGTTGGACCCGACCGAACTTATTGCTTTTTTACTTGTTATCAGTCTAAATGCACAATCCAATTCAGCAATTTTATTCTCTATAACCTTTCATTTTAAAGATTACCGACGAGGTTATTAGTAAAACCATTACACAATTTTTCTGCCCAAAACTATTTCAAAATCTGCATATGTAAATCACGGAATCCAACAGTGACCAAAATATCAAATTTCAGCTCTATCCCTCCGCCCAATACCAAATGTATGTACATTTGAGTCACATTTCATCAACCTACTTCATTTCCTTCTGAAGCTAGGGTGATTTCCACAGACGAACAGACGAACATCCAATTTTTCTGTCCAAAACTATTTCAAAATATTCATATGTAAACCCTAGAAACCTACAGTGACTAAAATATTAAATTTCTGTAGCATTTAGTACTTTTCGAAGAATTATCGTACCCATATGATTTGCA